ACGCCTTCAGTCACCTTACCTTCATTTAGTTTGATTACAGGGTTATATTGTGAAACTGTGGGCTATTAGCAGTGTCAAACTAAATGTCAAAAGTTTTAATTAAAATATATTATACTGGTCAAAAATACTGGGTTTGCTAATTGAAGAAAAAAACTACTGTAAAATGTCCTGAAATGAAACAAAGATCGATCCAATTTCAGGATAAAACTTCACCCTCAAAATGTACTTAAAACTCTCCAAATGTCAAAAAATACTACAAACATTAAAATGTATCCGAGCTTAAAGTCAACAATTCTCAGCATCTTTGTAAAGGAACAAATTAATTCAAATTGAACTCCACAAAGACTACAGATCTATTTTAGGACTTTTTACCAGTTTAAAAATGTTATGCAGTTTGCTGCTTTTTGACTGAACGTTCAAAGCAAGATCGAAGCTTTCATACATTCATACATCTAAAAACCTTTTTTTTTTTTTTTTTTTAAAGAAGCCATGCTAATGGCCCAGGAGGAACTTGACAATGTTCTTTTAATACAAACCCGGGAGGCATTGAAGGCCTAAGTGGACTAAGTTAAATATTTTTTTCTGATAGGGATAAAATCACCTCGGTGGGGGGAAAAAAGCCAATCTAATTTGAATTTAATAGGCACAAATGAAATTAATATGCAACTTAATGAAACTAATATTGTGCATCAATTTAGAGAGCAAATTAAATTTTGGTGGGTAGTCCCAGGTGAGACGTTGTACGGGGGTGTTGTGAGGCTCGCATTAATAAAGTGAAGGGATAATAAGCCAGGTTCATCGGTCATCCTAAGACTGTCTGCACACTCCATTCAAAGGAGAAATGGCTTTTACTTTGGAAAATTAATCTTCACATGATCCCGGTCTTTTGTTAAAAAGTGTTCTGTAAAAATGGCTCTTTTGATATGAACCGATGAAATTTTCTCATTGCATCCCTTTCTGTGTGCTCGGCCTAACATGTTTTAACCAGTTAGTTTTCACCGTGATGGTGAAGTTCTGATTCTAACTTCTCTGAGTAAATCTGAATAAATTTCTAATTCAAACGATCAAATGAACTCTGGATAAACACTATGAACTATGCACCTCATCAAAAAACACAGACAAGAGATCCACATCAACCACAAATTAAAGACAAAACACATGACCGTGTCAGTTTATGTTGTTTTTTTGTTTGTTTGTTGTTGGATGTAACTGGGACCCTGTGTACACAATTTAATTCCACCACATGTACCACATGTGATGTGAATGACAAATAAAGAAACTTTGACTTATGTCAGAGTCAGAGAGTCAGAGTTTCTTTATTGTCATTCGCACCTCATGTGGTACATGTGCAAGCCATGTATGTGCATGTGAACATGCTGGCTTATGTACACGTGAATATGTTGGTTAGATGCATGTGACCATGTCAGTTAGGTGCAGGTGAACATATTGATCTAAGTGCATGTGATGTGACCATGTCGATTTGCACGCACGTGACCATGTCAGTTTGTGTGCATGTGACCATGATGGTTTGTGTGCATGTGACCGTGTTGATTTATGTACATGTGAAAATGTTGTTTAGGTGCACGTGACCATGTCAGTTTGTGCGCATATGTATATGTCAGTTAGGTGCACGTGACCATCTCAGTTTGTGTGCACGTGACCATGGTTGTTTGTGTGCACATGACCATATTGGTTTAAGTGCATGTGGACATGTTGTTTTGGGCACATGTGACTATGTCAGTTTATGTGCACGTGAATATGTTAGTTAATGTCTTTATTTTGGCCTTTTTTGTACTGAAAACTAACCGAACCGAGCCCTCCTTGAAACTGAACCGAACCGAAATGTGATTTTAGCGTACCGTTACACCCCTAATGACCATGTCGGTTTGTGTGCACATAGTAATAATGATAAAGTGCTATATGTTATCATCTTTGTATGTTCCCATGCAATGGCAAAATTGGTTCTCTGTATGTAAACCATCACACCTGGGATACACTCAGGTGGAGCAGTAGGCAGCTATGTAATTGCCCGGGGAGCAATTGGGGATAAGGCGTCCTGCTCAGAGACACCACGACATGTGCAACGACTGGGGATCGAACCTGGGACTTTCGGGTCCCGAGTCAGCTGCCCTGCCTCTACCCCATCTTGTGAATATGATGGTTAGGTGTGCATATGACAATGTTAGTTTAAGTGCATGTGAACATGTTGGTTTGGGGGCACATGACCATGTCAGTTTGTGTGCACATGACCATGTTTGTTAGGTCGTTTTCACACCAGATAGTCCGGTAGACTCGGTTCGGTTTGGGACCAATATTCATGACCTTTTGTTTACATTTGAGCTGGTGCGTTTGCATTCACACTGCACTGTGCAGTCAAGTCAACCTGTTGAACCAACCTATTCCCCCGCTCGTCTGTGGGGGCGCTGCACCAAGAACTACTGAAAGAAACGACACAAAAACCTCTGAAGACATGTCTTCTTCTTCTGTAAATAAAAATAAAAACAAAGTGGCATCAAGTTTTAGCAGTTTTAGGAGTTATATTTTGTCATTTTTCAAAAATGGACTCAGCATGAGCAGAAGATGAGACAGAAGACCCTGGAGAATATTGTTTTTCTAAACAAGTCTGCTGACGGCTCCATATAAGGTAAGAGAAATGCGTGTTTGTTTACCCTGTGGAGTGGGTCCCAGTCTGTTTACATTCACACTGTACTCGAACCGCGCTGGAGTTTGCTTCTACCAGACCGAGACCTAGGTTTTAGCCCGGGCCAGAGTTCGCCTTTTTGTTCCGTGACAGAGTTCGATGGCGCGTTCACACCTCCCTAAACGAACCAGACTTTCTAGGAAAACGAGCTAGAGTTTGATTAAAGCGAACTAAACAGGGCTGGTGTGAATGCACCCTTAGTGTGCACGTGAAAAAAGTTTTACATGTTAAAATCATAGACAACAGCTTTATAAAGTGCACAATGACTAACTACTTGGCTAAGCCAAGTCAGAAATGAGTCTTTTCCCAATAACTCTGGTAAATCTGGTAATGCTCAAATGTCCCAGCTTTTCACCAGCCTTGAATGCAGCATAACCTATGTAAATCTGGAGCAGCAAGAAAGTCTCAAAATTCACATTCACAGGAAGCTGATCCAGCGCTTGTGTTCACTGATTCATCCACAGCAGGTGATTTGTGCAAGTTTATTTGACAATTTTATGCAAAGAATATTCCTAATTGTGCAATTTGAAATGTGTATATTTGAAAAACTGTTCATGCATTTGTGAATCTTCTGGTACGCTTGTGTGACTACCGGTACTTTTGAGACTGATTTATCTTCATAGTTGACAAGCAAGAGACAGTAACATTGGTGATAGATGTAGCAATCACAAAAGACTAACATCAGGAAGAAGAAGCAGCTGGAGAAATACCAAGACATGAGTTCTGGTAAACAGGAGCCTCTTATAGTGAACATCAGGAATGTTAGGGAACTCCCTTAATTCGGGTTTTTGTTTCTGTCAGAGGACAACTCAGTTAAGAGCTCAAGACCAGAACAGCTAAAGCTGGAGCCCAAGATAGAGTCAAACTTGTTTGGAAGGACAGATCGGTGTCGATGGATACCAAAGTTAGACTCATACATGCACTTGTTTTATCAGTTCTTCTCTATGTTGCAGAAACCTGGACTCTGAACACTAAAAAAGAGAAAATAATATGTGCATTTGAATTAACCTGCTACTCTCACCTGCTTCAGGTCTACTGAGCCTCCCACATTTTCCCCAAATTTCACTAAAACATAATACAAATAAACCTGATGTTTGTCATTACTTTGTGTGGACAGCAAAATCATTTTGTTCTTTAAAAGGTGAGGCTTCCTGTAAAAGTCAAAACACCATTTAAAAAACAATCACGGTCCGTTATCACTCAACTTTACGATCAGCCACACTTCTCACTCACAATGCTGGAGTTTCATTTTTGACTGGGAATATATGTCTAAGCAGGCAACGTCCCAAGTAACAAGATAACAATGGAAACTGGTGAGATTTACTGCTGCAACTTGAAGAACGGTGATGGTGTCACCACACTATAATATAACACATCTATTGCATTATGATAACGGTCTAGGTAATCGTTAACCAACTCTGCTGTTATGGCTGTAATAAATAAGTTGTCATGGCTAAAACAAAAGGCCTCAGGTCTCAGGTCGGGTGATTTTTATGGTATCTTTGTCAGAATGTTGCTGGACTTAGTTGGGAAGGTTTAAAGACACATGCTTATAATTCCCTTCTATAAAGATGAATGAATGTGTGTTCAAACCTGCAGAGATTTGTCTGTAGGTCTTAGCTGTGCGTGGAGACATTAATGTGTAGACCAGAGGCATCTAACAGAAAGATTGATGGAATATCATCAGTTCAGTCCAGACCACTGGAATTAGCCCATCGTAACCATTTTAACTAGTCCTCTGAGTGTACACCACATGGGTCAGACAGACTCTTTTTTCTATAAAACAGCAGGAAACAAACCCATAAAAATCAGTGTGTGCGTGTGTGTCTGAACATGTGAAAGGAGTGTCTGCCATCATATCCTTCTATACACTGACAAACTGTGCGTCCTCTTGTGTATCTACGTTATAAAATTATTTTTTAATGCAAAATGTTTATCATGTAAACCAAACACATTTAGGTGCCTGTGACAAACTAGGCAACAAAACAAGTCAACAGACAACACACAACATTGTCCTCTGCAGAAACAAAACATCTGAGTGTGTAGTATATTATCCGGCAAAATCATTTGACTCCCTACTAAAGTACATTTATAGTACCAAAATACATGAAATGTAACCACGTACAGTAGGATATGGACCACACAAAAGCAAACCATGTTAAACAGAAGCACAGAGGAGCTCTGTTAAATTAACTGACAGATACCTACACGTGCACAGACAACTGTAACTGGAAGGAAGTGACGGACGTGATTTTTGTTAGAAGTGGAGATTTTATTTAGGAGCTGTGTTGTGTCGTACCCAGTGTTAACGGAGATGATTTCAATAAGAGGGTTCTTCCTGATCTTGGGAAGGTCCAGTCTAGCCCCTCCAAGTCTCCTGCCTCCATCTTTCTTCTGTCCAAGGAGACGAACTGAGTGACCTGGAAACAACAATGAAACCCACTTAACACACATTCTTAAAGGCAGCATCTCACTGGGCTGTAAATGGTGGCGACAAACTCATCATCCAGAGAGAATGTGAAGTCTCAGCTGCCATCTCAGAACTTTGAGTATCTGAACCAAGAGACCATGTTTCAAAATCTTTGCTTATTCTTGTGGCACAGCATGAACAATTGGATTTTTGATTCACTACTAGTCATATTTTAACCTGTTGTTTAAACAGAGGAAGGATTGTACAAAGAAAAGTGATCAGATCACAAAACAAGTTCAGCGTTTAGAACGTAGGACCATTTCATCTCTCAGATGTCATGAAACTCAGTACAAACATTTATTATTCTAATATAAGGTAAAACGTTTCATCCTCTGACACAATGTAAAACAGAAACCCTACTTTCCTAAATGCAGTAATAATAACAATGATCTTTTTGGAGTTCAATAAATCTATCTTAGTTTGTTTGAGCATCCAGTCTGTGTGCTAACGACCCAGGTTATGATGGAACATCTCATCAGACAGAACTAGACGTTCACCTCCATGCTGGCAGCTCTGAGATGAGAAATGTCCACTTTCCACACCACCAATGTTGTGGCTAAATATCATCATTAATCAACATTGTCATTAAGTAAAAAAAGATGACACAGAGTCTCTAAATGACAGCAAAAATGGGTGTCTATTAAAGAGCTTCAAAATGTTGATCAGTCAGAACAGCAACATAATTTAAAAAAAGACTCCTATAGAATTACACAGACCATTTACACCTTCCTTGTGCATCATTACAGATAGTGTATCTCTCAGTTGATCACTTGTCACTCAAAAGGGAGAACACTCTGGGTCAACCCAACAGAAACCCAAGGATCCATGGAGTCTGTAACTCTTGTCCATACAGGCTCATGATGACGTCTTATTTCTAGAAACTTTCCTTCCATATTTGGTGGTGATAAGACCTTACATGCATATCATATCCTTACAACATCCTAAGACCATGCTATCGGTTGGTTTTCCAATTTCCTCTTAGATTGAAGGCATGTGTTCAACATAATAATTCTTCCAGCTAACTGTCAACAATGGTGTACCACAAGACTCAGTCTTAGGACCCACCCTCTTCACAATCTACATAAGTAATGTAGGTCCGATCATTCCTGGTGTATCCTTACATTTCTATGTCAACAACACAGTTGTTTCATTCAGTCATTCCATTGCTATGCTGATGACTGCCAGGTCTACCTGCCTGTGAAACCAGCAAGTGTTTGCTCCATTCACCCTCTGTTAAAATGTCTGGATGACATTAAGGCCTGGATGGCTTCAAATTTCTTAAGTTTTAACAATGACAAGACTGAAGTCATGGTTTTTAGCCCTAGCTCAACTGCCACCACTGATCCTGTCAACCTGGACTCTCTTCAGCCATATCTGAAGCAGTCTGGTAAAAATCTAGGGATGGTTTTAGACTCTGATTTCAAGTTTGACAAACAAATCAACTCTGTTCTGCAAAAAAGCTTCTTCCAACTCAGACAGGTAGCTAAGCTCAAGCCAGTGTTGTCCAGACCCGACCTTGAGAAACTAGTCCACGCCGTTGTCACGACCCGATTGGACTATTGCAACGCACTGTATGCTGGGATCAGCCAGGCCTCCATCTCACGTCTTAAGCTCGTCCAGAATGCTGCTGCTCAGCTTTTAACCGGAACTCGTAGGTCTGAACATATTACACCAGTTCTGTCCTCCCTTCACTGGCTCCCTGTTTGTACGAGGATAGTTTTTAAAATTCTTCTGTTGACCTTCAAATGCCTAAATGGCCTCGCACCCCTTTACCTCTCTGAGCTTCTGGAACCTTACGTTCCCTCTCGGGCCCTGAGATCATCCGATCAGCTGCTTTTGGCTGTTCCAAAAACAAGACTGAAGCTCAGAGGAGATGGGGCTTTTTCAGTCATGGGCCTCTCTGGAACAACCTGCCCCCCAACATCAGGCAGGCCACCTCCATTCCTCACTTCAAATCCCTGCTTAAAACACATTTGTTCTCTCAGGCATTTCATACAGTGTAAATTGATTAGTGTTTTTTAATCTGTGACCCTATGTTTTAAATGCTTTTTTAAATTCTTCAGTTATTAATATTAGTGTATTGTATAAATATGTTTATATATTTTTCTCTTTAATTTACTCATCAATTGTTGTGTTGTTAAGCACTTTGATAACAGGTTCTGTTTTAAATGTGCTCTATAAACAAAGTTGACTCGACTTGTTTATTGTTGAGCTAAAACAGTTGCTAAGATTTTCCAGCTTTTACAGTCTGCTTTCACTATCATCCAGTCAGATTTGTTCCATCTCAAACACGTGCAAAATGCTGATAAAACACAAGGGATGTTGTTGTCAAATAGAAAGTCGGAACCAGCAGTCCTTCCTTCTATCTCATCTATGGATGGTGTTCCTATTGAGTTTGTCGATACTTACAAATACTTGGGTATCTTGGTCGATTTGCATCTCTCGTTTAAGCCTCAAGTTTAAAACTTGGTAAAGAAATTGAAAGTAAAACTGGGTTTCTTTTTCAGAAATAGATCCTGTCTAATTCTGAATGCTAAGAAACGCATTGTAACTGCTACTTTCCAACCCTCCACTGACTATGGTGACATTATTTACATGAATGTTCCTGCAAACACCTTGCAGATGTTGGTCGCCGTTTATTATGGTGCACTAAGATTCATAACTGGTTGTAACTACCGTACCCATCACTGCACCCTGTATTCCTTGGCTAATTGGTCATCATTAACTTCATGCAGACTCTTATACTGGTACATTTTCATCTTTAAATCACGTCTTGGTCTGTTGCCTTCATACATTTCCTCCTACATGTCACTTCGTCAATGCAGCTACAGCGTGCGCTCTCAGGACATTATTACCTGCAGTGTCCCAACAGTGTGAACCGAATTTGGCAAAAGGGCCTTCTCTTCCTCTGCTCCTGTAACCTGGAACACCTTACCAAAAAAAAAAACCCCTGAAGCTCTCAACTTTGACCTCCCTAAGGGATTTTAAAGAACTGTTAAGTTCAATGCAAAAATCATTGCAGACATGTTCCTGTGTTTAGTATTTTACATCCTTTTATAATGCAGCTTGATTTTGATTTTGTTCTGTACCACTTTTTTTTTACTTAATTTTCATTTTTATATACATATATATATGTACGTATATACCATACCATACCATTTTATTTATAGAGCACTTAAAACAGCTACATGGCCAACTAAAGTGCTGTACAGACAGAACAACAGACAACACAAGAAGCATATATATGTATGTATGTATGCATGTATATATAAGTATATAGGTCCTTCTCAAAAAATTAGCATATTGTGATAAAGGCCATTATTTTCCATAATGTAATGATAAAAATGAAACTTTCATATATTTCAGATTCATTGCACACCAACTGAAATATTTCAGGTCTTTAATTGTTTTAATACTGATGATTATGGCATACAGCTCATGAAAACCCAAAATGCCTGTCCCAAAAAAGTAGCATATTTCATCCCACCAATGAAAGACAAGTGTTTTTAATACAAAAAACGCCACCCGTCAAATAATCATGTTCAGTTATGCACTCAATACTTGGTCGGGAATCCTTTTGCATGAATGACTGCTTCAATGCTGCGTGGCATGGAGGCAATCAGCCTGTGGCACTGCTGAGGTGTTATGGAGGCCCAGGATGCTTCGATAGCGGCCTTCAGCTCATCCAGAGTGTTGGGTCTTGCGTCTCTCAACTTTCTCTTCACAATATCCCACAGGTTCTCTATGGGGTTCAGGTCAGGAGAGTTGGCAGGCCAATTGAGCACAGTAATACCATGGTCAGTAAACCATTTACCAGTGGTTTTGGCACTGTGAGCAGGTGCCAGGTCGTGCTGAAAAATGAAATCTTCATCTCCATAAAGCTTTTCAGCAGATGGAAGCATGAAGTGCTCCAAAATCTCCTGATAGCTAGCTGCATTGACCATGCCCTTAATAAAACACAGTGGACCAACACCAGCAGCTGACATGGCACCCCAGGCCATCACTGACTGTGGGTGCTTCACATTGGACTTCTGGCATTTTGGCATTTCCTTCTCCCCAGTCTTCCTCCAGACTCTGGCACCTTGATTTCTGAATGACATGCAAAATTTGCTTTCATCTGAAAAAAAGTCCTTTGGACCACTGAGCAACAGTCCAGTGCTGCTTCTCTGTAGCCCAGGTCAGGCGCTTCTGCCGCTGTTTCTGGTTCAAAAGTGGCTTGACCTGGGGAATTCGGCACCTGTAGCCCATTTCCTGCACACGCCTGTGCACGGTGGCTCTGGATGTTTCTACTCCAGACTCAGTCCACTGCTTCCGCAGGTCCCCCAAGGTCTGGAATCGGCCCTTCTCCACAATCCTCCTCAGGATCCGGTCACCTCTTCTCGTTGTGCAGCGTTTTCTGCCACACTTTTCACTTCCCACAGACTTCCCACTGAGGTGCCTTGATACAGCACTCTGGGAACAGCCTATTCGTTCAGCAATTTCTTTCTGTGTCTTACCCTCTTGCTTGAGGGTGTCAATGATGGCCTTCTGGACAGCAGTCAGGTCGGCAGTCTTACCCATGATTGCGGTTTTGAGTAATGAACAAGGCTGGGAGTTTTTAAAAGCCTCAAGAATCTTTTGCAGGTGTTTAGAGTTACGTTGTTGATTCAGATGGTTAGGTTAATAGCGTGTTTAGACAACCTTTTCATGATATGCTAATTTTTTGGGACAGGCATTTTGGGTTTTCATGAGCTGTATGCCATAATCATCAGTATTAAAACAATTAAAGACCTGAGATATTTCAGTTGGTGTGCAATGAATCTGAAATATATGAAAGTTTCATTTTTATCATTACATTATGGAAAATAATGACCTTTATCACAATATGCTAATTTTTTGAGAAGGACCTGTATATGTATACATGTATATATGTATACATGTATATATGTATATATATATATATATATATGT